AATTTTTTTTATAGATTTTCATCGGTCGATATTTGTGGCAAAAGGAAAATCGATAAGGTGGACGAAACGACCAACGACAACTAGAGTAACATGATATTGGATTAAACGTAATTTTCTCGAATATGAACATTTTTACTTAGAACAAATCAAGGATTTGCTTCTTTGTTGTACCCTTATTGTCTTTTACAATTTTTTTTTTTTAATGCTTATTAGAATTATTAAAAACTATGCTGGTTTAATTAGATTATACAGTGATGTAGTATTGTGGTCTCTCTTCAAGTAGAGGAGAGGTGCTGAGTTCAAACTTTTTTGGTTGGTTGTATTTTAATGATTTTTATATAATCATTTTTAATAATAATAATAAAGTATGATTAGATTTTTTTCCCCTTGAATTAGATTAAATTGACATTTTAATCTATATCTCAAATTCTCTCTCTCTCTCTCTCTCCAAGCCTTTATATAGACGCCGCCTGGGTTTAGGGTTTCTCGAGCGTCGTCCTCTTAAGAATTTCCTTCCTTCTTCGAGGGATCGTTTCCTTCGCTAAAGTCACGAGATTTCTGGAGGGTCGTAACTAGGGTTTTCTTTGACCTTTTCATTCACGATTTTCTCTAGTCGATTCTTTTCCTCGTTCATTTTCTCTTTGGTATCTCATATATATTACCAACGGAGCGATAGACTAAAAACCAACCCAATCTCGATATCATCACTGGGGAAATTGAAAAGGGCTACGAACTTCATGTATATACGGACCTTAGCCCGGGCCTTGAATCGTAAAGGATCCGGTCCATTCGTTAGAAATTATGCCGAATCTACCCCCATGATCACATGGTTTCATGTAATTAGACACAAAAAAAAAAAAAAAAAAAAAAAACTATACACCTATTTGGATTAAACAAGACTATATATATTTTTGTTCTTTGACTACACAATACTTGAGAATGTAATAATATTATATATACACCAACAATATATATAATGTGTGTGTATCCTATATAGTATATACCCCTTAGAACTATCAAGAGACAAGACGAAAGTAACTATAAATCATGTATGAATCCTTAGTCTTTAATTACCCTTGTCCCATTTAGATGTAATATTTTACAAAAGTATTTATAGTTAAAATTTTAGAATAATAATAATATTTTTTAATTAGATAAAACTTCGTAACCCATGGTGATTATGTAAATAATTTTATTCTTTAAATTTCTCTCTGAAATTATAAGTTGCTACATATTCAATGGGCAACTAACGGCCACCCTTCTAACGTAAAGTCAAATTACGAAAAAAACTCTTCATGTGTGGATAATTATCTTACACGTACGAAAGATTTTTTTGTAAACAAAATACATAATTGAAGGAATAATTGTAATTATTCAAACACGAGGGGTTTCGTAATTCAATCTTATATTACCCCAAAGGCTGGCCGCAATTTGTCGATATTTATTTCTAGGAATATTATTTGAATTGGTGGTCCTAATTCTTCCACGTCGTCAATATACACGCTAGATATCATACAAAGGTTTAAGCATTGCATCACATGCAACAATATAATTAATTTATTTTTAGCGGTCAATTAGTCATTAATTAATACATTATCATTTTGTTGCATTATGCAACAGTTTCAAATGAATTCAAAATTATTGTATATCATCAATTTGGGGATAGAGTTTTAATTTTTAAATAATGTTACGTAATAATAACAATAATTCAAAGAACATAAATATTGTCAATAAATCAAAGTACGATAATATTATGGCTACAAACTTTAAAAAATATATAATAAAAGAGTTGACCCACTGACGTCGACACAAGTTGACCTTGGTGAACAATTGTAATTTGTGGGTTGTGGTAATAAAAGAGTCCACGTGGCCTTTATACAGTGAACAAAAATGGGTAGGCCACCAATCATATTGACTAAAGCCCAAATAAACAAGATGTTTGGAACCGGCCCAATTTAATTTTGATTAAATTCTTAATCAAAAACCATACAACAATACTTTTATGCTATATATTATTATAAACTTAAATATATATATTTAATATCTTTTTGGTAATGAATAAACCTAAAACCAACCATATAGGTGCATTCGGTAAACTTATACTCTCGTATAATAGTTTTTAAACTATATCAGAAACGTAAACTACACTAGACTAATCATATGTGACGAACTCGATATTCCAATGGTTAACCAGTGAATTATAATTTGAGTCGATTGACACAAATTAACTTGTTTCAACTGTTAGATTATCCATCGTTTGACGTATATTTAGTATCTTAGTTTTGCTATTCTAAATACACGTTGACAAAGGTCACCTCTCAGTTGTAACATCAATAATATTTGTCTAATTGATGTTAATTTAATTTTTATTTTTTTTAATTAAGTTTTTGTCATCTCTAATGTCACTTTCATAATTGGGTTATTATTTAACGTTTCAACGGCCAAAAATAAAAATAAATGGTATGATTAGAGCTGATTATTGAAATTTAAATGTCAAATTTTAAATATTTATTGGTATCGAATCGAAAAAATCGAATTAATTCAGTAAAAAATCGTACGAACCGATTAGTTTGAAATTTGATTTACCGAAATTTCGGTACGATTCGGTACAACTATTATTAATTATTTCTCAACTAATTCGGAAATTATCTAAAGGGACAAATATTTTTGTAGCAATAGAATTTGAGTTGGATAAACTATTTGGAATATTAATTCAACTATTGAATTTAAGTCCCTTTCAAGTTTAACTACACCTCCAACAACAAATGACCCTAATAACCAACAATCAACTAGCAATCATATCACATTAAAAATATTGGCTTTCACTAATTATCATTCTTTTTTATTTATTTATTTTAATGATTTTATAATTGAGAGGGCATTCATCATGCTTTTTCATTGTACAAAAATATAATAATAGTTATTACCTAATAGTGTATATATATATTTCATAACGAAGGAATTGCAGCAAACTATGTAGGTGCACTGGGTAAACCTACACTCTCATATAATACTTGCAATGCATAAACAAAAACCACACTAGACTAATTATACATGACAAACTCTATCTAACGACCGTTGGAAGGTAGGTTCGAGCGTGAATCAATTAACACAGTCTAACTTGCTCCAACAGCAGACCGAAAATTCTTTCTTTTTTAATGTTTAAAAGTGGTGATCCCTAATAAGGACAAGGGGTCCTACAAAGGATGCCCTAATTAAAGAAGATCAATGTCATTGAGCATTTGCACGTGTATAAATATGATTGATAGTTGCTTAAAAGGGTCCATTTTGTATTTATTTATATATTAATTCATAACTTAAAAACAATTATTGCCTTTTGTATATAAGTATTAGGCATTAGCCCCCATTGAAATGATGAGCCGTTGAGCACACCACCCCCACACTAATTCATTTCCCTCTCTCTCTCTCTCTCTCTCTCTCTCTCTCTCTCTCTCTCTCTCTCTCTCTCTCTCTCTCTCTCTCTCTCTATATATATATATATATATATATTACTTCACACTCCAAACACCATCATATAAATAACATATCACTACACTTTCATATTTGTCTTCATTTATGTACTCTCTCCATTCACGCTTGAAAACACACACACACACACACACACACTCACAAACACTCACACAAACACACACACACAAACA